CATGATATACATCGGGGAGGCGGGGCTAGTGGGGAGTGGTGGCAGCGGTCAGGCGCCTCAGCACTCCCGGTGGCGACAGGAGCTGCGGAGAAGCAGAGCGCACTGGGACACTGTACTTGCTCCGCTTCCCTACAGCTCCTGCTGCCGCGGGGAGTGTGGGGGAGTGTGTGTGTGGGGGGGTGACCTCTACTGCTCCACCGCACCACGTCCCTCGGTCATCCCCAAAGCCATATCCTCAGGGGATGAGGTACCATGCGGGAGAGAGGGCGGGGCGATGGTGGGAAAGGGTGGCGCTTGGGGGATGGTCATGACCAGGACCCCCCTTTGGCTGGCCAAGAATCCTGGGCTAGATTGTACAGGTACTCCAGTGTGACAGGGCTCCTGCCCTGCACTGGGCCTTTAAGCCCAAGGCTCAGGTCTGGAGCCTTAGAGTGGCTGGAAGAACCCAGCTGAAGCGGTTAGGCTAATGAGAGCCCAGCTGTCAGAGATACAGAAAAGCCCAGGTGGCTAGGCGAGCCCAACTGGCAGCTATAAAGGGAGGAGCACAGTTTGCTAAGGGGGGAGCCAGTGCAGGGCTGGTGGCAGAGGAAGCAGGAGCTCCTTGGAGGGAGACAAGCTGGGGATGACCAGCCAAGGCTGGAGGAGGACCAGCCAAGACTTCCCCTGGCTAGGGGCTGGAGACAAAGCCCCCTGGTTTGTGGGCCGAGCATGAGGCCGACTAGGTAAGCAGAGCTGGTGAGAACAATGCCTATGATGAGCAACCTAAACAGACTGTAACTTGCCCTGAGAGAGGCTATATGAGGACAGTCAGGGGGCACTGAGGCACAAGGGGGGGTGTGCACCCCCTGACATCCAGCCAGGGACAGCCTGTGGGCTAGGAGTTTGAGACCCCTGGTGTAGACTGTAGTTTGCTGTGTGTTTCAATTTGTTCATATGTTTTCTCTCTTATGCTTTGGCCTTAAGAGTAGACTGTAGTTTGGTGTGTGTTTCAATTTGTTCATATGTTTTCTCTGTGATGCTTTGGCCTTAAGAAAAAACGTGCTTGCTTAGAAAGAGCTGGGGGGTAACTTGCAACTGCTGGGAATCATGTCATTTGTTGCACCCAGAGTGAGCAAAGCACAGACACTGGCAGACTGACACGCGGAATAAGCAGGGAGCTTACAGCAGGAGATTAGGTAACCTTAAAACCCCTGGTCAGAAAAGTGTGAGCCCAGAGACAGAGTCTGACTGGAGACCTGGGACGTGTCTGGGAACTCCTGGAGTGAGCGCCAGAGAGATGAAAACAGATGCAATTACCCTGAAATTGTGAAAATGCCTTCCGCTGCTTCTCCCAGTATTAACAACAACAACAACAAAAAAAGGCAGGAGGACCCATCGTTCATAAAATCAGAGGGTTTGTCCCCTTCTCCCAGTATTAACAACAACAACAAAAAAAGGCAGGAGCACCCATCATTCATAAAATCAGAGGGTTTGTCCTCTACGGGATGGCTAACAAAGGAATCCTTCTTTTCTCCCCTTTTATAGTCCAGAAGCCCTTGGAAATGTATTCTTTGAAAAGTAAACCAGGAATTCCTCTCCCCGACTGCTTGTTCTCTGGGTTACAGGCGCCAATATCCGTCTTCATCCACTGCTCAATTTGCTATTTTGATTGGCTTGATCACTTCAATGTTAGAGGCAACTGCACTTCTGCTGCCCTTTGCTTATTAGCTTGATCCGAGTCGAGGGATGAATCCACATCCCTTTTCTTAGGGAAGATTGGTTTATCAACTGCCTCCACAACATCTTTTAGGAACCTATTTCTGGCACACACATACATAACCCTTTATACACCAACCATCCATACATCACACAGCAATAGTCGTGAAAAGCGACTCACTAGTTTTTAAATTATACCTTACATGGCTGGCTTAAGATTCTGCAAACAGTATGTTCGGTAGCCCCTTTGCCAGTTGGCAGAAAAGCATGCCAAGGGTCACAGGGCCTGATTCAAAAACCTATTGAAGTTGATACAAAGGATCCTATTGATGTAATTTTGCTTTGGGTCAGGCCCTCTGTTATTAATTTATATACAGTATTATTAAAAAGCAACACAGCTCAATAACACTGAATAAAGAAAAATGGTTTTGCTCGCTGGAGCGTTTTAGTATGTCCAGGACTCCATACCCTCAATTTGTCAGTTGCTGTGTGGGTCAGAATGATGGATTTCTCCTCCTGTCATTAATAACCACTTGCATACTTGTGTTTGGTTATTCTTGTTTTCTTCCTAGTCACTTCCTCTTTGCTTCAACGTTTCCTCCCTCGTGATAAATCTGCTGCCCCTCACTTCCTGAGTGCATTACCGCAGAACAAATTGCTTCTTTTGAACCATTCCAGCATAACAATAAAAATAAAATCTCAGTGCATAAAACACCTAAACATTTCATGTTGCTTGGCCCCTGTGGATGGTTATGGCCTCTGGCTGGCAAGCCCTTTAAAGTCCCTTTCAACATTTCAGCCACGAGGGGAAGTTTAGGGGTTATTTTGGGGGGAAGGTGGAGGATTGCCTGACTCAGAAGAATCATGACGAGAAATGGAGCCTTTTCCCTCTTTTCCGTCAGTTCAATTCCACCCCTGGTCAGCTATAGCCAAAAATCATTATCACCTGACAGCTCAGAGCAGTAGCCTGTGTAAACACAGTCATGGTCCTTATCCAGTTCCCAAGAAGCAGGTGTTCGCAGTCTGAACAAGGACACTAAAGGCAGTCCCGCCAACGGGGGAAGGGCAAAGGGAGAACTGTCCTAGAACCTGGCAATGCAAAAGGGTCCAGATAGCTGACCCCCTTGACATTGTCATGCGGTGCATGCTGGGCAGCACTGAGGGCTGCTGGAGTGGGGCACAGTGCTCTCTGGGTGGCACTGAGGGCTGCCTCGCCCCAGCCCCGCCCCTTCTGCCTGAGGCACCGCCCCTTCCGCCTGAGGTCCCGCCCCTTCTGAGGGTGTGGAGCAGCCCCTCCCGCCTTGGCCAGGCTGTTGGTCCGGCTGACCAGAGATGCATCTCCACTGCACTCAGGGTGTGGCTGTAGCACATGTCGACATGCCTGAGTGAACTTTAATTGAGCTAGGTCAAGGAATACTAGCAGTGAAGCCTACCCACGCTCCCCCGAGCTCCAGCCCACACTGCAATTTCTATGTACAGGTTGAACCTCTGTAAACCGGGACTCTCCACCATCTCCACAGGGGCAGAGGAGGCAGAAGGGTAGTGAGGACCAGATGCAAGCCAGAAATCAGCTGATTCCTGACTTGCGCCCAGTCCTAAGATGCTGCGCCTCTGCTTTCTCAGTGCATTGAAAAAGCAGAAGCGCAGCAGGGGGAACCTGACGCGAGCCGGGACAGCAGATTCCTGGCTCGCGCCAGGTCCTCCCCACTGCACACCAGCCTTTTAAATGCATTAAGAGCCGGACAGCTCTTAATACATTTCAAAGGCAGAGCTGCAGAGGGGTTAGCTCCTGGGGCTGGGAGCTAACCCTGCTGTGGCTACCCCTCTTATCGACTAATCGACTAGTCCTGTGGTTCTCAACTGGTGGTCCATGGTGACTTTTTCGGTTGTCCACAGGCACATTGTCCAAAGTCACACGGCGTGGGCAGGCACCAAAAATCTGTTAGTAAGAAATAAATTTCAAACCAAAATGTTCGTTGTCTGCTTTTTTTTAAATCATGTCTCAAAAAGGAGGTGGTCCATGAACATTTTTTGATTGGCCTGGTGGTCCGTGGACTGAAATGAGTTGAGAACCCCTAGTCGATGGAAATTCCACCGACTAGTCGATTAGTTGATTAAACTAAATTTAACATCCCTACTTGAGATGTGAAAAATTAAAGCTTTATAACTACTAAAATGTAATTTGTTGAGATCCCATGTCAAGCACGCAAAATGTATACCCTCAAATCAAACTCTTAAGAATTTCTCAAGCAGGATTTTTTTCACTTTGCGTTTCTGTACCTTTTAATTATTGTCTGTAGAAACATTTTGTCGGTTTGTGTGTTTACAGTGAAATTTACATGGAGGGATATTTACTGATTTAAAAAAAAAATCCTTCCAAGTCTGTTATAAGTCAAGATTCATGGAGACCCAGAACTCAGAATGGTAGTTTACTCCCTGTTTTTTAAATAGATACTTAATCTGGGGCCTTTCTCAGGTTCACAAAACTATGAGGCAGTATTTGACATTGAGAGACCTTATATTCCCATCTGAGGCCTCGCCCACAGAACTAAATGCTTTTAATATCTGTTAGTTATTATTTGTGGAATGGTTGTGCCCAGCAACTCCAGTCATGAGCCAAGACTTCATTGTGCTAGGTGAGGTACAAACAGAACAAAATATGGCCTTCACTCCGCTCCAGTGAGGCTACAGTCGAAGTATTGAATCCGAGGCTTGATTTACACTAGAAAATGAGGTTGGCTTAATCATGTCACTCAGGGCACTGATAAGTGTAGAACAGATGTGGGCAAAATAAGGCAGGTGGGCAGGATCTGACCTACCATGACCTTCCAGCCCGCTAAAAGTCCCACGGTGCAACGGGGTGCTCAGGCAGGCGGCCTGCTTGCCTGCCTGCCCTGGGCTCCCAGAAGTGGCCGTCTGCCGTCCGTCTAAGCAGGATGTGAAGGAATGCTCCCCCGGCAGCTAGCTGGATTCGCTAGATATTCAGCAGATAAGCTGATTACAAGGAGCAAAATACCAGTCTAACTTGTGACCCAGCACCAGGCACAGAGCTGAGATCAACCTCCCCCCGCCCCTCCGAAGAGCAAAACAGGCACTGAATCTTTTCAGGCCTCCGGAGAATGTCGTTTCGGGCCCGGCCTCCAAGAACCCAACCCCCACATGGGATCAGAACCTCAAATAAATCATTCAGGTAAGCCCCCTTTAACAATGAAAGGAGGATGTGCGCACTGTTTGCTCCCCTAGGCACCTGTTATTTACACGTTGCTTGATAGTAAAGAAAAGTGATTTTATTAAGTACAGGCAGTTGGATTTAAGTGGTTGCAAGTGCGAACAGGCAGAGCAAAGTAGATTACAAGTTTAAAACAACAGAACACACAGAACTAGTCTGAACACCAAAAGCTCAGTACAATACCCTACAACTGGTCTTCTTTCATCTAAATCTTCAAACCAGGGAAGATCTTTTTTCCCTGGGGTCTCTGGTTCAGTCTCTTGGGAGTGACATGCCAACCAAGACAAAGGGATTGAAAAACGTTGCATTTTAAATAGCCTCCCATTTTAGGTGGGAATTCTTTGTCTGTGCCTTGCACCCTTTCATGGAAAATTATCTCCTCGGATCCTCCAAGTTAGGGAGGTCACATGACTTCCTAAGACCAACCACTACCGAGACTTAAAGGACAAAAGGGCTGTTTACAAATCATCACCCAGACATGGAGGGAAACACCCTTGATGGCTTCATTCCCACGTTTAAAACTATAAACCAGTCTGTGCTTCCCATTTCTAACTTTACGTACAAGCGTGACTCCTACACCAAAAATAAGAGCTACAGATCCAGCAGATTGTGACGTAAGATTGATAGGCTGCATGAGGTATCTTGTCTGCAGCATCTCTGAGTTATGCATATTTGTGTCCATAAGGCAATTTCGTAAAGCATGGGGGGTTGGAAGGATGAAATTGTCACAACAGGATTGTGCTCAATCTGTTCAAAAGGAAAGGGCTCATGGTTAGCAGGTGCTCCACCTTCAGAGCTCCGCCCCATCCCACCTCTGCTCCGCTACTCCCCGACTTTCCCCCGCCTTTCCAGGATCGCAACTCACAAGAACAACCCGGTAGTCCAACAGGGCGGGGGGCGGGACTCCGCCCACCAGGGCTTAGGGCGGGGGCGGGACTCCGCCCACCAGGGCTTAGGGCGGGGGCGGGACTCCGCCCACCAGGGCTTAGGGAGGGGGCGGGACTCCGCCCACCAGGGCTCAGGGAGGGGTTCCTTGCCTCCGGGTCACACACGGGGAACCAGCCTGGTGTCTTAGCGTCACGAGTGCAGCCCGGTGGCCAGGACCTCCTCCACCCGTACAGTTAGTGCATCCCAGTCCGGAGTCATGGTGTGGGGTGGGAACCCATTCCAGTGTCTCAGCCCTATACTCAGGCCAAGCCGACCGTTAATAAGCTCTCGGGGCAAGCAGCATTCGTTCAGGGGCTCGGGGTCTATGATCCGGCGGAACCCAGACCCTAGCTCAGGGTAGGCAGCAAAAAGTCGGGGTAGGCTGCCACCCAGCTCGCCCCCCTGCCCCCCACCCAGCTTGCCCTGCCACTGGATCAGCAGGGATCCTGACCACAATCAGCATCAGCTACCCCGGGCTACTTCCTAGCTCCCCCTTGGGGCATACTTGGCTCAGTAACAGGCTGTCTGGGTCGTTGGGGGCTGGAACAACGTCCCTGAGGGTTGGCAGCTTCTCTGTGATCCCAGCCAGATCCCAGCTTCAGGTCCAAAGCAGCCTCCCACCTTTGGGCAGGCGTCTGGCTTCTCCGGCGGCTGGGCTCCAACTAAGCTCTTGGATCTGCCTTTTATATTTCCCGTCCCACCTCCTGGCTTCCAGCTGGATGCTGGGTGGGGTGGGACTCCACCCACCAGAGCTTGGGGCAGGGTTCCTTGCTCTCCAGGACAGTGGGCAGCCATTCCACCTCTACCAACACCCATCCTAAAATATCAACCCAGTATTTAGAACATAAGAACGGCTGTACTGCGTCAGACCAAAGGTCCATCTAGCCCAGTATCCTGTCTGCCGACAGTGGCCAGCACCAGGTGCCCCAGAGAGGGTGAATCGAAGACAACGATCAAGCAATTTGTCTCCTGCCATCCCTCTCCAGCCTCTGACAAACAGAGGCCAAGGACACCATTTCTATCCCCTGGCTAATAGCCTTTTATGGACCTAACCTCCATGAAATGATCTAGCTTCTCTTTAAACTCTGTTATAGTCCTAGCCTTCACAGCCTCCTCTGGCAAGGAGTTCCACAGGTTGACTACACGCGGTGTGAAGAAGAACTTTCTTTGATTAGTTTTAAACCTGTTCCCCATTAATTTCATTTGGTGTCCTCTAATTCTTCTATTTAGGGAACTAATAAATAACTTTTCTTTATCGGCCCTCTCCACACCACTCACGATTTTATATACCTCTATCATATCCCCCCTCAGTCTCCTCTTTTCTAAACTGAAAAGTCCCAGTCGTTTTAACCTCTCCATTCCAGCGGAAGTGGGGGAGCACAATTACAAACACCTGTGAAGAACTTACAGCCACGTGCTTTCCAAAGAGCCTTCACTAGAAAAGATTTGTTGGGGCCTGCAGCCAGTAGCCCTGCCTACAGTACGTGATCTAGTTCAGTCATTCCCAGTCTCTGGTCCACAGACCCCTGGTGGTCTGTGTCATGATTATGGAGGTTGGCCAGCAGCCTGGGCATTGGGGGGTTGACTGCACCTAGCCACGTGGAGTGGCCAGTGGGAGTGTGGGTGGGACTTTCGGACTGGGACAAAGGAGTTTGGGGTTTTTTTCCTTTCTCCTTTTGTCTCTGGGGGTGAGTCCTCTACTTCTACAGGGAGGGACAAGCATGTCTCTCTCCCTCCAAGAAACAATTCTTCACTTTCTGTAAGTAGGGTAAAGTTTAGGTAGGTTCGTTAGGCTTTATTGTTTTAAGGGTTGGGACCTGATATCTGGCATGGCTTAAGAGATGTTTGGCTTTTCTTTTTAACTAAGTTCTAGCCCATGGTGTAATTCCTCCATGAGTCTATTTTGTTACCTTTCCATCTGATCCTTATGCTTGCAACAGGAATATTGTTGTAATAATAAAAGTTCTTTCTTTTCTTTTTATTAACCTGGCATTGGTTACTTGTGTGTCCTGATTTTTATAATAGGGGTGAGATTTCCCAAATGATCTTTTCCCTAATCTCGTTATTAATATTTGGGTGGTGGCAAATTAAAAGTTTTATTCCCAAAATCTAGGTTTTTAAGATTTTGGGGGAAGTTTTATACCAAAGCCTGGTAGATAAGGCTTTGGGGTACATTTGCTGGCCCCCACTTCTGCATTTATCCTGCCACACAGGGGAAGGAGCCATGACAGTCTGCAACTGTACTGCAGAGGGACCCCTGGAGGTCCGTGATGGTACTGCAGGGGGACCCCTAGTGGCCTGTGATAGTATTGCAGGGGGACCCCTGGTGGCCTGCAACAGTACTGCAAGGGGACCCCGGTGGTCCTTGACGGTATTGCAGGGAACCCCTGGTGGTCTGCGATGGAACTTCAGGGGGGGTTCATGGAAAGTTTAAAAGGATCAGGCCCACCACAGTGGGTCCAATCTTTACTTTTCTTTTACTTTTCTTTTTTCTTCCCCAGGGAGTGGGGGTCCATGACATTTTAATAGATTGAAAGGGGTCTGTATGCTCAAAAAGGTCGGAGTCTTTTCTCAAATGTTTCCTGTCTGTGGGCTGAAAGAGAAATCCTTTCTTGGAGCGATCCTTGGCTGCCAATGCCACAATCTCCAACCACTTGCCTCTCCGTGTCTTTTATTCTCGGATAATTACCAGGAAGAGTTCCCCACAGGTGCTTCACAGCTGGAGAATCACCCTGCTTTCTCCAGCCTAGTCGGAAATATCCCAAGCAATGGGGCTTCTATGACTGGACAGACCTCTGCTGGGAGACTATTTCACAGCCTAATAGCTATCACTGTCAGGAAGTTTTCTTGCTATCTAGCCTAAATATGAATGACACCCCCATTACTTTCTTGTTAAACCAGTGATATGTTTCTAGGTGAGCAAGTCAGAGATATCCTCCTCCCTCTTCTTTCTGCTTTCTTTCTTTGTGTTCTTTGGCACTGCACATATCATATTCCAGCTCCAGAGTATTCCTTCCCCCACGTCTTCGGTATATTTTTCAGTCGTTTCCATTGTTATTTGCTCAACATCTCACCACTATTCCCCACACACATTTCTGCCCTTGTGGGTCTTCCCGTGGTCCCATGCATTTCACCAACAACCACTCCTCTGAACAATCTAGCAGATAGACCGACTGCTTCACATGTTTGATTGTTTCTGAAGGTGTGCAAACTGTTTTGTCGTGTACAGATGTTTTCTAGACACACTGTGCACCACATCTCCAACTTGTGTATGCTCAGAAGTGCAAGGAAGTGTCTGTGCCCTGGTGTACAGCTCCGGCAAGAACTGTGGCAAAAGCCAGCAGGGATCTATTTAAAGAGATGGCAGAGACCCGGGTTGCAATAGGACAGCACCTGTAAGAAATTTGAAGTTACTTTCATTGCTGTGTACACTGGCATAACTCCACTACCAAATATGAGATACATAGTACTAACTTGATCTATATCAGCCAAGGATCTGGCTCTCTCGTATTCATGTTACTTTTTAAACTCCCCTTTTGTCTAAAGAGTATTATTTTGGGTGGTTTCCAATATACAGTTCCTCAAATCAGGCCGTACTGGGGTTGAAACAATCTGTGTCAGTTGCCGCTTGTCTAATGTGGTGATTACATCAGAAGTTAAAAACTCCATTGGGGGGGAGGGGAGAGATTGGAAATAGTTTGATTTTTTTTTTCTCCCTCTCTCATTCCTTAGGATCGTTAAACTTGACAGCTCTCTAAACGAGCTGGAAGAATTGCAGCCTGGAGCACTTTTTCCTTTCGAGGATCTCTCTGAATTGGACGCGTCTTTAATGCTTTCAGCGGGTGCGTATGGCTTAGTGTCTATGATTGATGGGCTCTACGAAAAATGTTGTTTTTATTAAAAAAAAGGAGGGGAGGCATTATTTATGATAGTCTCAAGAGCAAAGGATTGCTAGCTTTGGCAAAATGTGGGCAGGTTTTTTTTTTTTCGGTTTAAGTCAATGCACTTCCATATTTAGATGGCCTCTCTCTGAAATTTTCTTTGTGATCTGCACTACACAACTCTTTCAACATACTTCACCCCTGAAAAAACACACCACTCTGATTTTGCAGCTCTAGTCCATACCACAAAGGCATGTCCAGCAGGGTTCCCTCTAAGATTTTCCAACCATGAGAGGAGTGAGTTTCAGCTTGTGCACCAATAGTGAGGTCATGAGTGCTGGTTTGGATGTGTGCCACTGTGACACCCAGTTTATTAACCCACATACCTTCCCGGCCACCAGAGCAGAAACTGCCCTCTCCTCTGCCATTTGTCAGGTCCCGTTCCCAGCAGCTGGAGCAGCCTCCGCCCCCCCCAGCCATGTGGCATGGCAGCCCCCGGCCCCCGAGCCGAGAGCGGCCCTCCCCCTCCCGCCACGTGGCCGCAGCAGCTCCTGGCCTCCCACCGCAGCAGCTCCCTCACCATGCTGTCTCAGCCGGCCCCGCCCACTGAAGCAGCTGCCTGCCACATCAGTGCTAATGCGTGGCTCTCCAAAGGAGGTGGGTGGGGGAAGATTTTTTGTGCAGGCGTGCACCTTACTAGGAACAATGATGTCCGGGTATCTCCCTCCAAACCGGAGGAGCGCGGCCAGTCCGTTTCTGACCGGAAATAGCTGCTAATTCCTAAAGCGGGAGACATGAGAAATCTGTAACACGGCTAAATGACCACGAGTGATAACGATCAAACTCATCTTTGCTAACAATCTGAGGCTGGTTTGGAACTGTGCACGAACTCACCGTCACATCACAGCGTCACAGAGAGAGGCTTCTTCATCACACTTCGTACATCATCCTCAAATATTCCTTGTGGTCTTTTCGGTGCTCCATGGTAGAGCGACTGGAAGGGAAGTCACAAAAACCTTTATGAACAAGAGATGGGCTCAAGCTGCAATATTCTGCTTATCCCTCAAGTGCTTGGATCTGGGGTTTTGGTTGGAGTTTTTGTAGAGGCCATTTGAAAATCCTGCCCCTGAATTCAGATGGAGCATTGGTAACACTGGTTCCCAGTTTGGTTAGTTTTCCAGAGCTGTAGTCTCTACTAATACCCTTCCCATCTCTTTTGTCTTTGGCTCCAGCAGCAAGGGGATTCATAGAATTGTAGAATCATAGAACACTAGAACTGGAAGGGACCTTGAGAGGTCCTCGAGTCCAGTCCCCTGCCCTCATGGCAGGACCCAGTACTGTCTAGATAATCCCTCACAAGTATCTGTCTAACCAGCTCTTAAATATCTCCAGTGACAGAGATTCCACAACCTCTCTGGGCAATTTATTCCAGTGTTTAACCACCCTTACAGTTAGGAAGTCTTTCCTTCTGTCCAACCTAAACCTCCCTTGCTGCAGTTTAAGCCCATTGCTTCTTATCCTGTCATCAGAGGCCAGGGAGAACAATTGTTCTCCCTCCTCTTTGTAATATCCTTTTAGATATTTGAAAACCGCTATCATGTCCCCTCTCAGTCTTCTCTTTTCCAAACTGAACAAACCCAGTTCTTTCAGTCTTCCCTCCTGGGTCATGTCTTCTAGACCTTTAATCATTTTTGTTGCTCTTCTCTGGACTCTCTCCAGTTTCTCCACATCTTTCTTGAAATGCGGTGCCCAGAACTGAACATAATACTCCAACTAAGGCCTAATCACCACAGAGTAGAGGGGAAGAATGACTTCTCATGTCTTGCTCACAGAAGCATAAGGGAGTGGTCTACAAAGGCTTCCCTTGTCGACCAATCCGCCTCTTGACTCGCTCACTGTGCTGATGATCAGCTGTGGAACTCCTTGCCAGAGGAGGCTGTGAAGGCTAGGACTATAAGGGTATGTCTACACTACCCTCCTAGTTCAAACTAGGAGGGTAATGTAGGCATACCGCACTTGCAAATGAAGCCCGGGATTTGAATTTCCTCGTGGAACGAGGTGTACCGGTAGTTCGGAGTAGGAAGCCTAGTCCGAACTACCTAGTTCGAGCCCCGTGTAGCCGCGCTGCACGGGGTTCGAACCAGCGGGGTTTTAAAAATGGCGGCTCCCCGCTTATGCAAATGAAGCCCGGGAAATTCAAATCCTAGTCCTAGTATTCTATGAGTCTATGGTCAGGGGAATCCCTGGGTGACATAATTAGCATAGCCAGAGCCAGCCCTCCTCTCGGCCCCTAGAGCAGGAGAGAGGTTGGCTGAGGACCAGAGCAGTGAACCGAAAGCAGTGTGCACTGACACGCATGGGCACTCATAGTTGGGGTATTGATGAAAGTAACCTCAAGGTCTATGATGGAGCCACCGTTGGCTCTTATCTGGCTCCTCCACCTCTCCTAAGCCCAGTCTATATCAGATGCCTCCAAGAATCAAGCCCTCGGTGACCAACCACATCCAAACCACATCCAAATAAGTGACTACATGAAGGGCTTAGGGAACTGTAACTGACTCATGCCAGTAGTTCTCCCAGCTCCAGTGATAGTCTCTTTCTGACACTTTGCTGGCAACATCTGATTTCTCTGCACTCAATACCTCACCGCCAACATCTGCCTCTCTTGCTGAAGGAAACTCAGCAAGCTTGCTTCTCCGTTATCTTAATCTTTGTGGAGTCTGCAGGGTTTTCCGTATGTCTTCCAGATGGATTTGGTATTTGTATCCCCTTCTCCTTTTAAGCTATGACCCAGGGTTTGGAGAGGCTTCAGAAGAGAACGAATTTCAACAATACAACACAGTTGAGCTGACTGACATGTGCATGTCATTTCACGTCTTCCTATTGGCAAGATAAATGGGAATGGAAGTCAACGTGGGTTAGAAGTGTTAGAGAGCCCCAAGATAAAGCCTTCTGTGGACAGTCACTTGGATAATAGATTGCAGAACCAGGAAAGTCTGGTTCTAATTTTGATTCAGAGCAAAACAGAACAAAAAAACCCCACCATTGCAGTGAAAGCCTGTGATTGTTTTATGTCGTCTTGTTCTCTCTCATTGGGTGGATTTATGCCATGAACTTTTGGAGTTGTTGCTGTGCTTGATAGATCTCACTTCCTTCAGCCAAGTAGTTTGGAAAAGGCAGGAGTGAGGAAACTATGATGACAAAATTCAGATAAAAATGCCCCACATTTTGGATAAGCTCAGACCTGGGTCCCAATTTTGTAGCTCAGGTCTATTTTTAAAACTAATAAAAGAAAGTTCTTCTTCACACAGCGTGTAGTCAACCTGTGGAACTTCTTGCCAGAGGAGGCTGTGAAGGCTAGGACTATAATAGAGTTTAAAGAGAAGCTAGATAATTTCATGGAGGTTAGGTCCATAAAAGGCTATTAGCCAGGGGGATAAAATGGTGTCCTTGGCCTCTGTTTGTCAGAGGCTGGAGAGGGATGGCAGGAGACAAATCGCTTGATCATTGTCTTCGGTCCACCCCCTCTGGGGCACCTGGTGCTGGCCACTGTCGGCAGACAGGATACTGGGCTAGATGGACCTTTGGTCTGACCCAGTACGGCCGTTCCTACGTTCTTATGTTATGTTCTCTACAGCTTGAGCTATAAAGCCAACTGGCTCTCAGCTTAGGTTGTGGAGCTCCCTTGTTCTTCTCTCTCACTGTAAGTGGTCTACATGCCTGCTGCTCCATGGGACAGTGAACCACACCACGGCTATGTCTAGACTGGCGCGATCTTGCGCCAGAAATATGCAAATGAGGGTAAGCGTGGAATATCGCTGAGCCTCATTTGCATATATAATGTGCCGCCATTTTTGCGGAAGAGGGTCTTGCGCAAGAAGGAGCGTCTACACTGCCCCTTCTTGTGCAAGGAAAAACCCTCTAGCGCAATGCCGTTACATCTATTACTTTTCAGGAATAACAGCATTATATATGCAAATGAGGCTCTGCGATATTCCATGCTGAGCCTCATTTGCATATTTCTGACGCAAGATCGCACCAGTCTAGACATAGCCCAAGCGTGTGGGTTACAACCCTAGCACGCACAGCCGGCTCCCCGACTGCAACGCAGCTGCACTTTATGGAGCTATTTAACCTCACGGTCTAGATCAGCTGAACAAAAAACGAGTGCAGATCGCCGGAGCCCGATGCAGTAAGGTCTCTTGCTTATGCAAGGTGCCCTTTCGTAAGCAACTCCAGCTCAGGCGTAAGAAACTTCCGACTGAACACAGACAATTCCCTGCCTGTTGCAAAACCATGAAAAGGAAATCCCTCGTTAACCTCTCCGGCAGCCCTAGGGTGGCCAAAGGGTCAATTGCTCAGGGGCGTGGTGATTTAAAAGGGCCCAGGTGGATGGGATTGATACATTTTTGTTTAACAATGTAGATTACAGACCAGACAAAGAGCCCTGTGGCACCGTAAAAACTAACACGTTTATCTGGGCATACACTTCGGTAGGCTGGAACCTACTTCGTCAGAAGCATGAAATGGAAACTTCACTTTGGCAGGTATATATACCCATGCAAAGATGTTACATGCTAATGCTTTTTCTGGGGACCATATACCTACCTGGGGAAGTGAAGAAACAGTCTGACAGAGCCAGACGAGAACCTAGAAGTTATCTAGTAGAGGAAACAAGGAAAGTAACAGAATCATCAGGAGCAGTGGTCACCAACCAGTCGATCAGGATCTACTGGTAGATCGTCCAGCCTCTGACAGGTGATCCTGACTGGTTTGGCCAAGTGACTATTACCAACCCTACCCCAGTCATGAACCCCTTCCTGCACCCCAAGCCCTGCTCCTGAGCACCCCTGCATCCAACCACCCTCCCAGAGCATGCACCTAGAACCCCCTCTGGTACCCCAACTGCCTGCCCCAAGCTCAGCTCAGAGTCCCTCTCACACGCCAGATGCCTTAATCCAAGAGCAGAGCCTGCACCCCAACCTTCTCTGATGAAAGTGAGGGAGGATGGAGGGGGGTGGGAGGGAGGCTGGAGTGAGCAGGGGAGGGGCCTCAGAGCAGGGAGGTGGGGCAAGGGTATTTGGGTTTGAGGTAGATCTTGGATTGCATTTAAATTCCAAAAATGATCTTGTGCTTAAAAAGGTTGAGACCCCTGACCTACAGCCCCCAGCTTAAACCTCTCCAGCACATCATCCAAGATCTACAACCGAACGTGCAAAATGACCCCTCACTCTCACAGACCTTGTGGGCCGGCCAGTCCTCACAGACAGCTCCCCAATCTGAAGCAAATACTCATCAGCAACTACACACCACACAACAGGAACACGAACTCAGGCTATGTCCAGACTAAGGCTTCTTTTGGAAGAAGCTTTTCCAGAAAACGTCCTCCGAAAGAGAGCGTCTACACAGCAGGGCACCTGTGCTTTTTCCTCTTTCCTCTTCTTCCAAAAGAACTCCCTCTTCCCCGTCCACACACGCCTTTTTCCGAAAAGGCCTCTTCCTCATAGAAAGAGGTTTACCAATGTCGGAAACCCCCTCAGTTCTTTTGATTTATTTTTGTGATTGCAACGTTAAGTGAAGTTTTTTCGGAAAAATAATGTTTTTTCCGAAAAAACTCTGCAGTGTAGCCATACCTTCAGCAGGCATGGATTTTCCGATTCCTTCCCAACCACTTCCTCAGAGATCTCCTGCCTGAGGTGGCGCACCAGGCCTGCTATCTCCTCATCGCTCTGAGTGGTGGTGTCCCACAGCACCAGCAGCCCAAGTATTTCCTCTGTTGTATATTATAACTTTGTTGGCCATAGAATCATAGTACACTCAAACTGGAAGGGACCTCAAGAGGTCATCAAGTCCAGTCCTCTGCCGTCACGGCAGGACCAATCACCATCCAGACAATCCCTGACAGATACTTATCTAACCTGCTCTTAAATATCTCCAGCGATGGAGATTCCACAAACTCCCTCAGCAATTTATTCCAGTTCTTAACCATATTGACAGGACGTTTTTCCTAATATCCAACCTAAACCTTCCTTGCTGCAATTTAAGTCTATTGCTTCTTGTTCTATCTTCAGAGGCCAAGGAGAACAATTTTTCTCCCTCCTCCTTGTAACAACCTTTTAGATACTTGAAAATGGTTATCATATCCCCTCTGTCTTCTCCTTTCCAAACTAAACAAACCCAGTTCTTGCAGTCTCCCCTCTAGCTCATGTATTCTAGACCTCTAATCGTTTTTGCTGCTCTTCTCTGGACTCTCTCCAATTTCTCCACATCTTTCTTGAAATGTGGTACCCAGAACTGGACACAGTACTCCAACTAAGGCCTAATCAGCACAGAGTAGAGCGGTAGAATGACTTTGCGTGTCTTGCTCACAACACTTCATGAGTCAGGTTTGCTTGTTTTGCAACAGTGTTGACTCATATTTAGCTTGTGGTCCACTATGACCCCTAGATCCCTTTCTTCCGTACTCCTTCCTAGACAGCACTTCCCATGCTGTATGTGTGAAACGGATTGTTCCTTCCTAAATGGAGCACTTTGCATTCGTCTGTATTAAACTTCATCCTGTTTACCTCAGACCATTTTTCCAGTTTGTCCAGATCATTTTGAATTATGATCCTATCCTCCAAAGCACTTGCAACTCCTCCCAGCTTGGTATCATCTGCAAACTTAATAAGCGTCCTCTCTATGCCAGTACCTAAATCGTTGATGAAGATCTTGAACAGAACCGGTCCCAGAACAGACCCCTCGCTTGTTATGCTTTTCCAGCATGACTTTGAATCATTAATAACTACTCTCGGAGAACGGTTATCTAGCCAGTTATGAACCTCCCCCCTTATAATAGTCTTGTTTATTGATATTTAATTGCATCTTCTATCCCCATTTCCCCCTCGTTTTTAGTTTACATGAGTCATGAATAGGTGTTTAATTAGCCTACTCGATACTGCAGGTGCTTACTTTGTGCTTCTCTAAATGTTTTCTATATTAATTCATTTCATTCTATTATGCATTTATTTAATTTTAATATAGAATTCAAAGTAACAAATTCTACATCTTATATATATCTCTAGCATGTAGAATAGTGATAGAAATGTAGCCGTGTTACTCTGGGGTAGCTGAAGCAAAAGGCAGGACAATGTAGCACTTTAAAGACTAACAAGATGGTTTATTAGATGATGAGCTTTCGTGGGCCAGACCCACTTCCTCAGATCAAATAGTATTTGATCTGAGGAAGTGGGTCTGGCCCACGAAAGCTCATCATCTAATAAACCATCTTGTTAGTCTTTAAAGTGCTACATTGTCCTGCCTTTTGCTTCAGCTACCCCAGAGTAACACGGCTACATTTCTATCACTATTCTACATGCTAGAGATATATATAAGATGTAGAATTTGTTACTTTGAATTCTATATTAAAATTAAATAAATGCATAATAGAATGAAATGAATTAATATAGAAAACATTTAGAGAAGCACAAAGTAAGCACCTGCAGTATCGAGTAGGCTAATTAAACACCTATTCATGACTCATGTAAACTAAAAACGAGGGGGAAATGGGGATAGAAGATGCAATTAAATATCAATAAACAAGACTATTATAAGGGGGGAGGTTCATAACTGGCTAGATAACCGTTCTCCGAGAGTAGTTATTAATGATTCAAAGTCATGCTGGAAAAGCATAACAAGCGAGGGGTCTGTTCTGGGACCGGTTCTGTTCAAGATCTTCATCAACGATTTAGGTACTGGCATAGAGAGGACGCTTATTAAGTTTGCAGATGATACCAAGCTGGGAGGAGTTGCAAGTGCTTTGGAGGATATACCACCCTAGTTCGAACTAGGGTGGTAGTGTAGACATACCCTAAGGTGCTACAGGACAATGCATTTTTTTTTAAAGTTACAGACTTACACGGTTGCCCCGCTGAACCTCGCTAATTGTACCGTTTGGTCTCAGATCGTGCTTGGCCTTGTTACGTCTGATTGCTCCATTTCAGATCATCTAACATCTGCCACATGGCCTCTCCTCGAATGCCGCCACAATTGTTGTCAAGCAGGGCTGGTAAATTGAAGTGGGACTAGGGTTGCCAGGTGTCCAGTAGTGAACCGGACAGTCTGGTATTTTCGCCTCCTCTCCGGTAAAAAAAATTCAGAAAATACTAGACACCGAAAAGGTCTGGTATTTTCTGATTTTTTCCCGGCCACGAGGTGAAAATCCCAGACTGACCGGCTCACTACGAAGGCAGCCTGGCAACCCTAGTGCTTACTGGGTTCCACAGGGGAGCTGTCCAGCCTTGCGCAAGGAGACAAGATGGCGGGCAGCCATTGGCAGCTTGTTAGGTCCAAAAAAGTCTCACAATGTGGTTTTTTTAAAGGGGCCACAGGGTTTTTTTGTTTAACAACTCTCAGGGTCCTTTTTTTTGCCCAACAAACTTTTTCCTGGCGTGTTTTGTTGCTGTTGTTCGGTATTTTTTCTGAAACCATCTGGCAACCCTAAGCGGGATGTGTGACTGGGGCGCGATGCAACTTCAGTCCAGCTTCCTGGTCATGGCCTGCTGCCAGAGCCTGCTTGCCCCCTGACAGATCGTAGCAGAGAGATTTCCCTTGAGCGCCTTGCAGCCAAAATGAAATGTGTTCTGCATTATCCCTTGGGGGGAGGGATTGGGACGGGGGAGGGCTGCGTTCTTTCTGATCAGGTTTAATCACATTCATTTTATTTAATTCAAAAGATTTCTTTTGTTTTTGTTTTTCAGTTCACTCACCAAAAGTTTTGACAATGTTTGGGTTTTGGGCCATCCCAAACAGGTTTTTTTGGTTTGTTTTTTTACTCTGAAATTGCTAATGAAGTGAAGTGGGCTAGTGGCCACAGAATTGATATACAGAATGGCCTAGCGGCCACAGAGACTCAATATGCAGCACGGCCCAGTAGCCACAGAGAGTCAACATATAGCACGGCCCCACGGCCATGGAGAATCAACATATAGCACAGCCCTGTGGCTACAGAGTCAATACACAGTCTCTAACGGGACAGAGCAGTATGGTCCTGGGCTACATCCTACCTGTATCTTATAAGAAGTCATCTCCATCTTCATGCTCTGGGCCAGAGGCTTCCACCACAGTCCCTCTTGGCCTGGCTCACACTGTTTGGTCCAGCTGCACTTCCTCCCCTGGAGTTCCTGCACCACCTCCTTCCCCTGCAGCCATCAGCTCTGGCTGAGCAGCTCCACAGGCCTTTATAGCCGGCCTCTAGATGGAGCATGCTCAGCAGGGCCGTGGGGGCGGGGCCTTCTCAATCAACTGGTTAACTCCTTCAGCCCCAGTGCGGGATTGATACACCCCTGTCATACCAGGCTACTCTCCATGATGCTGCCAGAACAGCCCCTGCAGCAGCAGCAGGACTTTAGATTGGGACAGAGACGGTATCCGGAATGTCCCAGGCTTGGGATGGCGTAAAAGTGGCTTAAAGTCTCCTTTGTCCTCGGCCTCTTGTCCAGCTGGGCGGGCCGAAGAACAGAGCCTCTTGCTCACGTATCTATAGCTAGAGCAGTAAGAAGCAGGTAATGAGAAATGGAAACGCCAGAGCGCCACGTTCTACACCCTGGTCCCATCAGGTCGAGTTAAAGCTCCGTCGCAGAGCAGTTCCCAGGGCTAAAGCCATACCTCTGTCCTCTGTCTATTCCCGGGCCGCCAGGCAGATTCGGTAACTGGAATGCTGACTTTCTGAGCCACATGGGGACGGGGGGAGGGCCAGGAGCTTTCCGGATGATCCCCCCCCACCTTGGATGCTATAATTTCTCTTCCACGGGCGACATGTCCAGACAGACGGGTTGTCTTGTCAAGTCTGGGCAGCCCCTGCCGCTGGAGGGGGAAGGTGCTGATGGAGGGTTTAATCTTTGTGAACGGGGAGCCCGGGGCAGGGACTTGTCAAAGCAACACGGGCCCCCTTTCAAAGTTAAAATGTAGCCACAGGCGCTGAGCAGCTGCAACCGTCCTGCTCCTGGAATGAACTCTCCGGGGGTGGCAGGGCTTCCCTCGTGCCGGGTGAGGAAGGATGGCCTAATGGTTAGAGCGGGACCTAAGCATTCAGGTTCAAGTTGTTGCTCCTCCACCCACTTCCAGTCTGACCTGGGGCAAATCACCGAGGCGCTCAGGTTTGGCTCACCCTGTGGGGAGAGGGGCAAACAGCACGGCCCTAACTTTCCCTGGGTGCTGCGAGGCTAAACCCGTTAACAGTTGCAACGGGCTCGGGTCCTACCGTGAAGAGGGCCAGGGAAGCAATTCAGGGAGACCAGGCAGGTGTCTGTGGAGACGATTCGCCGTCCTGCGACGCCGCTCGCTGCCAGAGCTGCCAGGCCACTGAGCGAGCCTGCCCTTAAACTCCCGTTTTGTGCCGTGCCAGGGGCAGAAAAGCGTCTCTCTGCTTCTGACCAGCAGTTGGGGAGGGTGTGGCCAACGGGAGTGACATATGCACATACGAACGGCCAGACGGGGTCAGACCAAAGGTCCATCTAGCCCAGTGGCCTATCTTCCGACAGAGGCCAATCCTGGTTAATAAGCATTGAGGGATCCAACCTCCATACATTTATCTAGTTCTTTTTTGAGCTCCATTAAAGAGGAGGGATAGGTCAGTGGTTTGAGCATTGGTGTGCTAAACCCAGGGGTGTGAGTTCAATCCTTGAGGGGCCATTTAGAGATCTGGGGCAAATCTGTCAGGGATGGTATTTGGCCCTACCAGGGGGACAGGACTCTATGATCTCTCAAGGTCCCTTCCAGCTCTATGAGATGTATAGGTAAACAAACCAACCCATCCCCTTCCAAAGAAACTGGAGTCCTTGATGACCCTCCCCATAGCTCTTTTCTGAACTATGTTAAAGTCCTGGTCTTCCCAACATCCTCTGGCGAGGAGTTCCACAGGTTGCCTGTGCACCGTGTGAAAAAAACCCCTTCCTTTCATTTGTTTTAAACCTGTTTCCTCTTCATTTCATTTGGTGACCCCTCTGGGCCAACAGTGAAGCACTAAGTCATCTGCAGGCAGAAGGTAGGGGAAACACCTGAGATGGCCGGGGGGGGGGCTGACGGCAGTTGCTTGGGTAGAGGCTAGAATCTGACCCTGCCCTTCCAGGGTCAGATGGACAGGGGCGGTATCAGGGTGGTAAAAGCAACCCTCAGTGCCCATGCTGAGAGCAGGGAGAGGAGAGGGGACTCCAGCGAGCCTGGCTGAGTAGCTAGCTGGGCTCTCCCCTTCTGGCGGGCAAGTGGGTATGAAGACCCTCTTGGTTTCGGCCACAGTGCTGCTTCCAGCCCAGCCTTTCTTATAACTCTCCACGCCGAGCTGTGCTCCATTAGCACAGACTCACGAGGCCCTGGCACCCTTATTTAGCTAGAGTGCTGGCCGGAGAGGGATTCTGGTAATGCCAGTCCCCCCGCCCTTCTCTCCTTGGCTGCTTATATCTCATCCTCGCGTGAGCCCTGGGGCTGAAAAGCTGTTTGTGCTGGGGGGGGCCGTAACTCCATTCCCACCCACGGTGACTGGAGAAAAGGGAGACCGAGTCACTTCCCTGGGCGGAGGTTTCGGGGAAGGGGGGTGGGAGGTGTGATAACAGGGGCTGGAGGCCTGTTGCGGTCCAGAGCCTCCAGGGACTTTATTATCTGTCTGCCCTGCACTTCCTCTGAGCTCCCTGGAGCTGTCATCTCCATGGGCCGTAGAGCGCAGGCCACGGAGCGACAGGGTGTGCTGCAAACAGCGGGTGGAGTTTGCTACCCGGCCCGCGCTACGGCTGAAGGGTGTTTCCTGCATGCAGTTCACCCCAGCTCAGGGGACAGCCCCTGTGCAGTTTTCCTGAGTTTTCTGACTTAAAAATACTAATAAAAAAGTTATGGAATCGTCAACTTGTTTCATTCCCATTCTCTTGAAAGAACAGATTCTAGAATTTGGGTTTGAATTTTTTTTTTAACGTCAAAACGTAAGCTGATGAAAAGCAAAAACTCATGGAGTGTCCACACTGCAAGCGCGTTTTTGCGCAAGTACATTCACAGTAAATCAGAAGAAGAGAGGGGTTTTGGCGCAATACTTATTCCTCTTTCTATGAGGAATAAGTCTTTTTGTGCAAGAGCTCTTGCGCAAAAAGGTGCGTGTGGACAGGAAACGGGGTTTTGGCACAAAACCAGCCTATCGAAAGAAGCACAAATACCCTGGTGGCTGTTCTGTGAGTGGCAATCGGAGCTTTTTTGTGAGAGAGCGTCCATGCAGTGTGGACGCTCTCTTGCGCAAAAGCGTATTGCTTTTCCGACGCGCTTCTGCAGTGTGGACGCGCTCTTGCGCAAGACGTTTTTGTGGAAGATCTCGTCCGCAAAACGCTTCTCACGCAAGAAGCCTGCAGTGTAGACGTAGCCTGGCTGGGAAGGGGTTAAAGCCGGCAGGCGGGAGACTGCACAGAGCCCTGGCCAGTCAGGCAGCAGCTTTTAAGGAGCCAATCCGGGTGTAGCTTGCTGGGGCAGATCTGTATATAAAGAGCTGCCCAGTAGAGTGAGTCATTTACGCCCTGTCCAGGGAAGGTGCAAGCCTGGTTCCTGGAGAAGCACCTTTCCTAGAGCAGAGCTGGGCAGGCTCAGGGGGGCTAGACAGGGAGGCTCCAGGAGACGAGGCAGTGAAGGGGAGCAGAGGAGGGCAGGACAAGAGGCTCCCTGGGTCAGGACCCAGAGCAACGGGTGGGCCTGGGTCCCTCCTTTCCCCCTTGTACCGTATCTGGCCACCATGGTTGTGTGGCCTGCAAGGCCTGTGGCTTGCCCTGAAGTGAGGGGCTAGATGAAGGCTGCATTGGCCACGGTGGCAGTTGCTGGATGACGGCCGGCCGATACCCCTGGAAGGGGGCATGAGAGACCGCTGGCGTGGGCCCTACCGGAGAGCGGTGTTGCCGCAGTCGGGGAGCGCCGCGGGTCGGGAACAGGAGTGCGGACGGGGGAGACCCCCGCCAGACAGAGGCGCCCTGCTGAGAAAGGACGAATTTCCCCAGAGCTACCAGCAGGAGGCGCCGCAGCGGCAAGTCCCGCCCCGTGAACGGCGGGAGGGGACTTATTTTGCCCGTGTTTACACAGCCCATTGGCCCGGTGGATTGAGACACTCGGGGCAAAGGGCTGCTGTGTTTCTTGTCCGTGCCTGGCCAGGTGTTTTGCGGAGTGGTCCCTACACCCTCCCTTCCCCCCGCCAGGCCCCCACAGCGGGTGCAGCACAGACGCAAAGGGGACTGCGTCGGATGGCATCTGCCCCTTGAGCGGCAGCTAGCAATCGCCAGTTGCTAGAAACGGCCCATCCTCGCAGCCAGCGGCCTGCAGCCCGTGAAGCAGTCACCTCCCCACCCCACGGCCTTGTGGGACCAGGCTGGCCATCCTGCTGCTGCGTTCCCTTCGCCTCTCTCACCTCTGCCCCCTTTGTAATGTAGCCTGATTCCTGTCAAAAGCGTGAGGGGAGGAAAAGGCCCCTCCGCCGAGCGCAGCCCATCCCTGTCAGCCCTCGTCCCAGAAATAAAGAGCAGCCCCTCCTCCTGCTTCATAACTTCTTCCAACTGTGCGGAGGGCTGCACTCCGGCCAGTGGGCCCGGCGCGTCTCCGGACTGGGGCTCCAGCAACTCGGGGATTACGCAGGCGATCCTGTCAAAAGCGTGAGGGGAGGAAAAGGCCCCTCCGCCGAGCGCAGCCCATCCCTGTCAGCCCTCGTCCCAGAAATAAAGAGCAGCCCCTCCTCCTGCTTCATAACTTCTTCCAACTGTGCGGAGGGCTGCACTCCGGCCAGTGGGCCCGGCGCGTCTCCGGACTGGGGCTCCAGCAACTCGGGGATTACGCAGGCGAACCCGCACGCCGTCCGGGGGGGATGCTCGGAAGGACGGCTGGTGAGGGCTGGACCTTTGCGGGACGGAGGAATTTGAAGGCATCGGATGATTGTATCCTTCCTGTGCCCGGGGGGAAATCCAAAATGTGAAGGCTTCACACAGGTAAGGGCACTCTCGCTGGAGGCAATATACATCGGTACCGGCCGGCCTGCGGGTTGCTCTTCGTCGCGGCTGCGGAACGAATCCCGTCGTGAGAAACGGTCACAGAACCGTAGCAAGCGATTGGACGCGACAAAGGGAAAGGGGTGAGAGGGGGGGGGGGTGCATTCACTTCCGTCCCACGTTGTCGGTGTGTTGCACGCGCCGTGTGCTAGCAGTGCGGGGGGGAGAGAGGGAGGGAGGGGGACACGCCTGCCTGTGGGAGCCGAGATGACTTCTTTAAAACCTGGGTCATTAGGATGCCGGAGGCACGTTGCTCTCCGGAGTCGTGCGCTAGCCCTGGTGTTGCATGGCAGGGCCTCTGGGGTACTGCCTAATAGAAGCGCTCTGTGCTGCACGGCGGGGCATGGTTTGCTGTCGGGAAAGGGGGGGTCGTTCCTCCCCTCCCCCCCAACTTTTGCATCTCTGTGCGTGGGGATGTCTTCCGCTTTTTGCCTCCCCCGGCTTTTCAGGATAAAACCGAATCGCAGAGGAGAGGGCTGAGTGTCTGGCGGACACAGAACGTTCTGTCGCGGGGGTGGGGAACCATTTTTGGGTCGGGAGCCGCTGGCCCGCAGAAAAATCGGTCGGGGCCTGCCCACAAGTGAGAAGCCCCTGACTCCCCACGTTCCCCTCGCACACGCGAGCCTAGTGGAGCCTGGGCTACAAGACTTTGGGGGCTCCCCCCCAGGCTATGGGGTGGGGCCCAAAACGAGGGGTTCTAGGAAGAGAGCTTGGGGTGTGGGCAGGAGGGAGGGTACAGGAGTGGGCTATGGGGGGCTTTAGGGGGAGGTAGGGTGTAGGAGCAGCCTGAGGGTGGGGGATCTGGGCGATGGGGGGGGCTACTACTGGTGCAGCTCCGTGGGGCTGCATATGGTTCCGTGTCCCATATGCAGAGCCCATGGGTCGGATCCAGCCTCGGACTTGCCTGGTTCTGGCCTGCGAGGCACCAGGATTCCCCATATCCTTCCAGGAGCCAGTGCTGGCACATCTGCCCCATAGGGAGGAGCCACATGGGGGCCACAGGGCTGGAGCGCCAGTACCGGCTCCCCGCTGTAGGGGGAGCCCTGAGCCTGGGGGACCGGAGCTAGGCAAGCCAGGGGCCACATCTGGAGCCTGAGATCCCCCACCCTTGTCCTATATGCTGACACAGCTGCCTCCCCCCACTACATCTCAAATGACCCCCCCCCCCCCCGGGCATGGACTGCCAGGATTGCTGCCCCACATTGCATGGGCTTTCTAGCATCACTGGGGCAGGGTGGGGGTAGGGACGATGCATCAAAGGCCAAGCCCTGCTTTCAGCCCCATCCACTTCCCCACAGCAGCCTGGGTGTGGCAGGATTGAATCTGAGCCCAGGACTCTCCACTGTTGGTAGAACTAGGATTTACAGGCATTCAGTCAGGTCCCAAGCCTGCTGGCAAAATAGCAGGTGCTCTGTGCCTCATCTCTCTGGCCTGTAGGGCAGCTCTTTAAAGGGGCTTTGCAACGCTTAGCCGGGGACGGACTCAAATAGTCAATGCATTTTTGCATCAACTATTCCATTAGTTGATCGGGTGAAAGCCCCACGTGGAGCCCGGGGTCAGCTGGGGATTCCAGCTGATGCTTGGCTCCATGCAATGCTGCCCCGTTGAAACACCACCGCTGCTATTCAAAGGGGAGGCGCACGCGATTCATCGCAATTACATTTTTTAATTGCTTGACAGCCCTAGGCTGTGTCTACATTGGCATGATTTGGCGCAAAAGTGCCTGCTTTGGCGCAAAAACGTGCTGCCTGTCTACACTGGCCGTGTGTTCTTGTGCAAGGACACTGACGTTCTAATGTATGAAATCAGGGCTTCTTGTGCAAGAACTATGATGCTCCCTCTCAGGAATAAGCCCTCTTGCGCAACTGTTCTTGCGCAAGAGGCCAGTGTAGACAGGCAACATGAATTTCTTGCACAAGAAAGCCCGATGGCTAAAATGGCCATCGGAGGTTTCTTGAGCAAGAGAGCGTCTACACTGGCACGGATGCTTTTGCGCAAAAGCACATGCCAGTGTAGACGCTGGCTTGCGCAAATACTTTAACGCAAAAACTCTTGCGTTAAAAGTCGCAAAAACTCTTGTGTTAAAAGTATTTGTGCAAAATCTTGCCAATGTAGACATAGCCCTGGGCTACGTCTAGACTGGCATAATTTTCTGGAAATGCTTTTAACAGAAAAGTTTTCCGTTAAAAGCATTTTCGGAAAAGAGCATCTAGATTGGCACGGACGCTTTTCCACAAAAGCACTTTTTGCGGAAAAGCGTCCGTAGCCAATCTAGACGCGCTTTTCCGCAAAAAAGCCCCGATCGCCATTTTCGCGATCGGGGCTTTTTTGCAGAAAACAAATCTCAGCTGTCTACACTGGCCCTTTTGTGCAAAAGGACTTTTGCCTGAACGGGAGCAGCGTAGTATTTCCTCAAAAAGCACTGATTTCTTACAGTAGGAAGTCAGTGCTTTTGTGGAAATTCAAGCGGCCAGTGTAGACAGCTGGCAAGTTTTTCCAGAAAAGCAGCTGATTTTCCGGAAAAACTGGCCAGTCTAGACACAGCTCCAGTGTTTATCCAATAAACCCCAGAAATGGTTACGTGTATCTGAGGGCTTATCTACACAGAGCAGCAATGCAGAGTATGGGATTGTGATTTCCAAAACACACCAATGTGTTGCACATTCATGGAGCCATGTCGACCCTGCTGGTGTGCACTGCAGGTTCCCGAGTGTGCTTTAATATTGTGCCATTACACGAGCATGGCAAAGAAATTCCAGAGATTATTCATTCCAGTAGATGCAAAGAGCCCTGTAATCCCTTGATTTTTTGGACACCTACAGGAAATTCAGATTGCTAAAAATAAACCTGGAAAAATGAAATTAATACTGTACCCCCCGAAAAAAAACCACACACACCAAGAAACCTCACAAGCAAAGTGTTGTAGATGCCATGACACTGAAAGGATAAAGCAGTGGCAAGAATTTTTCAAACAGGAAATTTCAGAGTCCTATTATATATATCGATCTCTGTGAACGGTTGTTCTGATCCTAGGGCTCATAGCTGAGCAGTAAAATAGAGAGGGTGGTCCTGGGGTCCTGCTGGTGTTGGGGCCTGAACTGCTCTTGAAGATTCTGATGTTTTAAGTTTTTTGAACGACAACCTGATAACTTCCTGACTTTCTGCTGTTTTTCGAAACAGTGACATCATGCCTCCAATGAGTAGCTATGTGTAGCTGCCCCCCTGTAGAGCAATGGCCGATGCTGACTTCTGGCAAGTCAATTTTCTATTGCAGGAGAAATTAGTGACAAGGAGTGCAGTTTGTTTGTTTCCATTGTAGACCGAGGTGGTCACAAGTGGCCTATGCAGGGGTAACCTCTCCCCCGTTTTGGAAACCTCAGCTCCCAAATCAATGCTTGGTTCCCAGAAAGCAACTTTGTCCCCCAAATTAATCCTAGTTAGAAAGATTAAGGAAGATAACAAACTTTTTTGCTGCTTGCCAGAGCTCCCCAAAAAGCGTAGTGCAACACTAACCACAATGCAGCCTTTCTTCAAAGACTGTTCACAGCTCCCAGGCTAAAGCTTGGTCTACACTAGGAGTTTAGGTTGAATTTAGCTGCATAAGGTTGATTTTTCTAAACAAGGAAAAGAACCTATAAGACTATGTATAATAGCAGCATCCTGCCATAACAGTATTTACCACCTTATCTATCAGAAAGGAGTTTTTTGTTTGGCAGTGCATGTGTGTGTGTAAACTCGATGCATGTGGATTCACTACAACCTGGAGCAGAGTCAGCAGATGCTGTCTCTTCCTGCGATATTTATACACTGTACAGGATTCTTCCTCCTGTTTCTTTCCAATTTCCTGGTGCTTCCTTCATGGATTTTCTTTCTAAGTCAAGTCCTTATAGTTCTTAAAATCAATGAGTAGTTCTGCGGCACCTTAGGTTATGTCTACACTACCAGGTTATTTTGAAATAAGTTATTTTGAAACAATAACTCCCAACATAACTATTTCAAAAGAAGCTTATTCCTCCTCACAGGCAGGAGTTATTATTTTGAAATAACAAGCCTATTATTTCGAAATAACAGGCTTGGTAGTGTGAACGCTTGCCTTGAACGTTATATTTCAAAATAAGGGGAGTTGTTATGCCCTTTGAGGCTATGTCTACACTGCAGCGCTTTTCGGGGTACCGGAATAGCTATCCAACAGCTTAACAGCAAGCCTGTTATTTAGAAATATAACGGGCTTGCTATTCTGACATCCCTGTAAACCTCATTCCAGGAGGAGTAAAAGTATGTCTACACAGCGGGGCGATTTCAGGATACTGGAAGTATCCCAAAATAGCTACCCGCGTCTTTTGAACATGCCCGCTATTTTGAGATAGGTCTTGAAATAGCAGATGCACTATTTCGGCATCCCTGTAACCCTCATTCCAGAAAGGTTAAGGACGGTCTCAGGATAGTGTGTTATTTCGAAATTTGGTGCTGTGTAGAAATAAGATATGCTCTATGCAAATTGTGTATCTTATTTCGAGTTTAGGGTACTGTGTAAATGCACCCTAGGGGACATTTCAGAATAGCACGTTATTTTGAAATAAGATCAGAATAAGATACGCAATTTGCATAGCTCAAATTGTGTATCTTATTTCAACCAACGGTGCAGTGTAGATGCACCCCCAAGACTCACAAAAATATATAGTATCATTAGTTTGTGGGTAAAACCCACTTCATCAGATGAGCTGGAGTAGAAATAACAGAAACCAAGAGATATATATAACAACAAAGAAAAAAATACCTGTCAATTGTAGAACCAGTGCTAATGAGGCTAATTAAGTGGGCTGGAAGTGTCCCATGCTTAGCTTTTGATGTAAAGATATAGTTGTTAAAGGCAGGGGAAACTGACTCTATAATGGGACATCCAGTTAATGTCAGGAGAACAGTGTTTAAAGATATAGTTG